GTAAGTCATCAGAAAGACCAACTAAATTTATAACGAAATGATCAACCTATTTCGAATAAACCAAAAAAATGTCCTTATTGTCAAGGTCATCATAGTGAAACATATTTATTTCGTCAATAACTTTTACTTCTTTGTAGTCTTCATTGTTTTCTATTATTAATTTACTCTTTTACTTCTTTTATTAAAATGTTATCATTAATAACATAATCATTAAATCAATTACGATTTTTGTCAATTACAAAATGTGTTCCACTATGATAGAGACCAAAACTCTCTGGTAATTGATTACATGATAATCGATTATATTAACATTGGAATCAATTATACTTACTCATTTAGAAAATAAAATGATTCTAGTAATGGATTACATTCATATTATAATATCAATTACAATAAGAATGATGAAAATTGGAAATCGTTTTACTCCTATACCACTTTCAATTAAAATTGGAAATCGTTTTACTCCTATACCACTTTCAATTAAAATTGAAAATCATCAACATCCTTCAAGACTTCAACATAAAAGTTGTTTAGACCCTCACCCATTTTTTATTTGACCATTTGACCCAACTGAAATCATTTATCTCTTATAGCCTATTTCTGTAAAAAATTTAAAATTTATCTATTTAGGTAATATGTGCTTTGCTTACTTTAAAAAAATCACATATTCATAAAATAGAGAAGAAAACACTTTCTGATAAAAATAAAAGGTTGAAGGCCTTTTAAAGAGAACCTGTTTTTCTCCCAACAGATATAAAACAAAGTAGAAAAACTTCAACAATAGAGATAAAAATGTACCAAAACTCTTTATATATATAAACTTGGTGGAATGGTATGAAAAGAAAACCAGCATTGTAAGACTTACGTTGTAACATGTAGTTGGTAAACACATGCCTACAATTTTTTATTGACTTTTTGAGGATTATTAGTGTATGATTATCTAAAGAGCAAAACCAAAGAATCAAAGAGGTAGGAGATATATATTGAAAAAGAGTGGAAACAATTTTGGGTGCTCCCTTTTATGACATTCCAACACGTATTAGTTAGGCAAAGTTACTTGACGTAATTTGCATGGATAGTGTCTATCAAATGGTCCTTTTCATCTTTGTTTTTTTCCCTCAATCCTCTCTGTAATTTCCCAACTATCCCTGACCTAACTCGTGAGAAAAACAAGACCACACACATTTTCGAAATTTTCAAATGGTTGACAATTTCTAGAATACTTCAGAACTTGTGCTTTTTTGCTCTTATATATAAATGGTCCAAACAATAATAGCAAGTCAATAATTCATGAATCCCTCCGTCTCCTTCTTCGAAGTGTGTTCTTCTACTTAAAATCATTTTCGTGTATAGAAATTAATTCCAGTGTTTGATTTTTGCCAATCACGTAACCATGGGGAACCAACTTTGCAAAGGGTATCTCTCTCTCTCTCTCTCTCTCTCTCTCTCTCTCTCTCTCTCTCTATATATATATATATATATATATATATATATATATATATAT